TAACAGGGAACAAAACAAGAGCATTTATCTCACCAGTTGGATCACATACATTCTTACTGAATCTCTAACCTGGCCTGGGAGAGAGACATTGTGACAACCCATTATAGGTGAAAACAGTGAGGCAAAGAGAGCTTTCATATTATTCCTTAAGGTATCTGCCATACCTCGTTGATGGTGTGTATGTTAAGCTCAGAAATTCAACTTGGGATCTCATTTGGTATCCAAAGTTGGAAGAGACAAGAGGCCACTTTGCCTAAACCTTTGAAAATCTCAAAGAAAACTGGTTCAGATTTTCCTTGGGTGGTCAAGGACAATATGGCTCTCAAAAAACTGTGAGAATGTGAACATGCCCATTCTTTATCTGAAGCTTGGCAAGAACTGGGCAGTGAAGCTCCTAATCAGTTTATGTTCCCATAAGGATGAAGATGAGGGTGAACAGCTGGGTTTTGTGAGTCTTTCCCGTTTGACAAGCTCAGGGTTTTTGATGAGAGGTTGTAATGGGTCATCAGGGTCCATCTGTGCTTTCTTAGCCCAGACTCTTTGATATTTTGGTGGTCCCAGCACAACCTATGCTAGGGCCAACACAGGGCAAATTTATAACCCCTGTGCAAAGATTTTTTTTTTAAATACGTGAAAATCAACATAGCATAAAAGGCCACTGGGCATGATACCAACTCGACTTCAATAAAGACAGCCAATAAAAGAGCTAATTAAAAAAAACTCTGATGACATTCCCATGAAATTTTAGATGGTTTTGTGTTTTAACAAATTAACAGTGGTGATAAGAGGACATTAGCAGCTTTTCTTGAGTCTCTTTGTTAACAATAACTTGAGCCTGCAGCCACAACAGGGGCCATGGCCAAGTTTTAACTGGCAGACCAGCAAGCCAGTATTTTAAACAATGGATGACATTTCTGAAAGCAGAGACAGAGACAAACCCAGAGTCACACATGTATTCCAACAAACAAGTTTCTGCCATTTTTAATTGTATTTAGAGCAACAAAAGATTCCAAGATTACAAAAAATAATAATAATAATAACAGAGCACTAGCGCTTGGGGCTGGTCCTGCTACCCAGTGGAGGCCAAGTGCCGCTGTGAGAACTGAAGCCCAATCAAAAGAAGTTTTAAGCAAAATTAATGTTTCTTTAAAAAAATCTTTATATGATGCTCTTTTTTTCTTAATTTTTCCCTCAACATTGAAAATTAATTCTTGCATCTGGTTGCATTGTCTGCTCCCTCTTGCCGCCAAATTAATCTCAAGGATAGCACAACAATGTCACATCTGAGGCACTCCCTAATTAATGTCCCAGTCTAGGGGAAAGCAGAATGGTGTCACTGAATGGTGAGAAGACTTTTTTTTTTTTTTTTGTAGCTTGGGTTATGCCAATGGTGGCTACTCTCAGCACCTGAGTGACTTATGAGATAGGACAATCCCACAGGCACTTCACTACAGGACAGTTAGCACCAAGGGCTAAGGTTGGGAAAGACTATAGGCCTGGCCTGACTGCAGTACAGGGAAAAGAGTCCCAAAATGTAAAGCAGCCGCCAGGGAGGGCACCACAAGAGAAGCAGCAATTTTTTAGGAATTTCTTTCCTTTGGGGGTACATGTGTGTTTCAGTTTTGGGTGGCCAGTGGAATCTGTAGCCATAGAACAGCCAACCTCATGAATTAGTGCAGGTGGGGACTGTTTTAGGCTACAAGGGCTACTCAGTCCACAGCTTCTCATTTAATTCCCTAAAAGGCTAGAGACAGGTGTGGTAAGGAAAGGGATCAGGACTCCTCTTATACTGAATTGGGGTTGGTAACCAATCAATGCATACTACCTACTTTCTGGCTAAATCGAATGGGGATAAATCGAAACTGTGTCCAAGGCTGTTTTTCCCTTTAAAAGTCTATCTGCTAAATTTAAATACTTATCACTAATTTCTGGGGGCAGGGACATTCCAAACGGTTTGTTACTTCAGCCTAAGCATCTGAGGAGGAAGAGTGACTAATGTGGAATTTTCTGCCTTCACCTAGAAATGGTTTAAGGTTGGGAGGCTCTGGGCAGCAGACCCCAGTGTCAATTTCTTAATTAAGAAAAACATCCCTACCCAAGGGCAGAGATGGACCTGCATCTATAGAGATACAACTTCTAGTACACTGACAATTTTTTGACAGATAAAAACACATTTTCATTGTCAAAATCTTTACAGAACACATCCAAAAGCAAAATTAGAGCACACAGACACCCAGTAGCAAAAGCACCTCAATCATAGGTGAGTGGATTGTGTAAAAGATGGAGCACTTGCTCCAGGTTCCCAAGTGCAGGAAACTACCCTTTTCTCACAAGGATGGTGAAGAACAAAGAATGTTTCTCCTTCCAATCCTCAGGTCCCATTAGGGGTCCATCAGTTAATCATTTGGGTGGGTCTTTGGCCCCAAGTCTGGGCCTTCTCTGTGGGAAATCCCAGTTGATTCCAATCAGTCTTCACCATCCTTTAAACATTCATCTGTCTTGGGCTAGTAAAGTGCAATACATCATGTACCCTAGTCTTTTCCCCCTCTGCTCCTCCGTTAGGCCTACTGGTAAGGCCCCAATAGAGACAGAGTTAGTTATCTGATCAACCCAGGTATCTTTTCCATTCTGAGAGAGTTTCCAAAATGTAACTGTAGCCTCTCTCACAAGTACATGGTATCAGTTATGACCTGGAACCAAATATAAAGGTGCAGAGAAAGATAAAGGTATCAGAACACTTTATATCTATACATATATAATTCAATTTCAAAACATGGATACAAATACTCATTTACAATATATTTCAACCTTCTGCCTTAAACCCAAGAGAACTTTTTGTGCCGTCCAAAGTGGGCAGAAATGAATATTTCTGCCTGCTGTCCCTTTAGTGCAAAATCTAGTCCTTTAAATGCTCCCCTTCTCATCAAGGGCTTCACATCTTCAGATATGCAAACATGGACACTAGCAAACACAGTGGCCAAGACAGCTCCATTTCCAACCATGCAATAATGGAGCTTTAAGAATTTGCTCAGCGACTACTAGAGAAAAGGAAAGCTAGTTCTGCTTATAAAATCATGTGGTGAAGGACCTATAAACCCAGTTTTTTCAAAATTATCTTCCACTTTTCTAAGCATGTATATTGTTGGGGGGAAAACCCACAAAACTCTTATAAGTCAGTCAACAACAAAGTCCTTTAGTCTGTCTTTGGGTAGTTCACCAAAGAGGCACTAATGTTTGTTCCCTCCCTGCTCTTAAATTTTGGTATCTTAGCAGATACAGTGTAATCTTTGGTTACATAATGTGATGCTTTCATCTCTTTGTCTTTTTTTTTTTTAACTGCTTTCAAAGATTTTCAAAGAGATTAGTGGTGAGAAACAGACCTGCCTATAAAAGGCAGCAGGGGCAGAAACTTCCTTTTACAAGCTAAATGCTAAATGGCTTATTTGACTTTAAGTTTGGGATTTGATCCTGTTCTTTAGTATTCCTGGTTGTCATAACCCCTTACAGGGGGTTGAGCACAAAGGCCACTCTTTTGGCCTAGTGCCTTCTCACTGGGCAACTGGCACAAGATAATTAGTAGTCAGCCTATTGTCTCCCCAGAGCCATGCAGGGATAGTTACAGGGCTGTCTGGAGAGTCTCATGAAGTGCAACCCTGGAACAGGGATGGAAAGGGGTAGAGGGAAGTGGCTTCAGCTTTTGAGCCCTGCAGAATATCTAAAGAGAAAAGAGGGCAAGACCATATCTGTGCTGTGGCTAATGAGATAAACAAACAGAAGTTTGTTCAGAGCTCAAAGTTAGATCATTCGTGTAGTGTTACCATCATGTGGATGATGAAACTACTTTGTCTTAAAGTGTAAATAGAATACTTCTTGCTACATAAGCCTATAAGTATTTAGAAGTAGAATGTGGACAGAGAGGGACTCTAGCATAAGCACATTATTTCTCAACCTGGAATCACCTCAGCAACTATCCAAAGGACAGAAAAAAGCTTTTTCCCCTTCTGTTTTAGTGCCAGTGAACATACATAAAAATATGTGAATTACTGATTTTCTTTTTCAAAGATATATGACAGAATCCTTCAAAAAATTGCATTCTCATTAGAAAAATAATGAACTATGCAAGAACAATGATACTGTCTGTGGCACAGAAAAGTTATGGAACAAAGAACACAACCCCTGTTTCAGCTCAGAGGCCAGGCCTGGGAGAGCTGCTCATTGAACAAGAGCTGAAACTGCCACAGGACTTTTTTCTTTGGTCACAGAATTTGTGACTCTGGCGGCTGTCTGTCGTCTAGCACAGATGGGGCCTTGTTCCTGGTGCTCCTTTGTTTTCTCTTCCTCACTCCATCCCCATTGAGCACTGCAAACCTCTTCGGAGGTAGTTACCACGACTTGTCTGGTGAGTGATCCTCATCTTTCAGCTCACCAGGTGAGTGGGTCTAGGTGGCCGATCCTTCACAGATAAGCACAGTGTACCAACCACATCAACTGTTTGTACAGCAGAGTGCATGCAAAATGAGACTTCTGTCAATTACACTGGCAAGAACATCAGTGACTAAAAGAAAAAAAAATCCCCCTTTTATCCATGGGAGAACAAAGCCATGCTAAAATCTCCTTCACTCACTGAAACCCCAACAGAAATACTAGGCCTAAAGCCTTGTTTAGGCTGTTTTTCCCTAGTCTTGCCATTCAGAAATTGAGAGTAGTTAATTGTTTCTATTTTTAACTACACTGCTGTTTCACTGATTTTTGGCTTTTACAAATGCAAAACATATATATTCATAAAGATAAGAGTCACAATTGGGAAATCCATAAAGGTGAAAAATTTGGTAGTCAGAGAAATAAAAAGGAGAGCATCTAGTATTTACAAGGAGAGATATTAGAATGATATAATCAAGTCGATGTACCATAAAAGATGAAAATAATTTTAAAACAGATGTAAAGGAACTATTAAACTATAACCTAGCATAACTGAAAAGAGTGATGGATTTTTTTTTTAAATAGCCAGAAGTAATCTTGTGAGCTTATATAAGCCAAATTATGTCCTAATGAAGAAAACCAGAATTTGTCTATCCTATCCCAGAAAGAGAACCTGTCAATTTTAGTTTTGTCCAGCAGTCTTGGATTGGTATATCACCCATCTTAGGTTCCCTGTCCCTTGTTATTTAAAGAAGCTGTTTTGCAAGTTCATTTGGCTATTAATATCAACACAGAAATCAGGGAAGGAAACCCATGTAGATAATAGCATGTCACTCAAAAACTGTCCTCTCAAGTAGAGTGAATCAACTGAAATGGGCAGCTTGGTAACTGGCCCCTAATTTCTTGAATTTAGCAGATGAATATAAGAGCTAAATAAGGAGGCAGTTGCCAAGATGAGAAAGTAGGCGGACATTCCCCCTGAACTCAGGACTGGGGGACAAAGTCAGCAAAAGAGAGGTGTGCCAAAGGACCATATGAAACCAGTGTCCCAGGAGCACACCCTGAGTTCATGGATGGCAGCCCAATGGAGCCACGCAAACCAGACCTTTCCAAAGGAGGTCATGGTTCTGTAGTATAAATGTTTCAGCTTTCCTCTGGCCGAGAGGCAGCAAAAAAGGTGGGAGCTCTGAGTGAGTATGGCCGATGTCAGAACCCAGGATCAGCAGCAGAGGAGGATGATGAGTAAACCAACCAGATGGTGCCCATCTGGCTTTAGATTTTGCCTTTGAAGACTTTAATTTAGTAGTCAGTCTCCTCTTAGTTTCTTCTCTATTCTTCCCATGACTTCTGCAGGTGGAAATGCTGGGTGGCAAGGACAGCATTTACAGGGTTTCTGGTTCTAGTGCCTTCATTCTTCTCACCCTGGTAATTGAGTTTTCTCTTTAACCCTGACCTGCATAGCCCCCTTTAGCTGCTCTGAAGGAAGAAGTAGGTATTTTTCCACTTGGTGGGAAGGTGTCATCTCTAGAGGACAAGGGCAAGATGCCCAGCTTGTCCAGTCCCATCGATGCCTTCTTTCCAGTTTGTCCAAGGGCTTCAGAGATCTGATAGTTGGTGAAAGACATTTGGTAAGAAGTCTTTGAGCCTAGTGGCATCTAGAGATAGATGTCAAAACTGCTGGCTTGCTAGCCTTCTTGGTGGTAACAGCTCTTAGCAGAGAGTCTGTGAACATGCCCAAATAAATGGACAAATATCACCACCATGGCTGTCATATAGTCTGGTGAAGTCCAGGCCCACAAAACACTGAAGGGAGGGTAAGAGGGAGCTTGCAGCTGCATGGAGTCAGGCAAAAAACATTCAGGTCTTTTAAAGATAAGGGCAAAGAGTGATCAACTCTTCAACGCCCTAAGCAGGAAAACAACCAACCAACCAACCAACCCATTGATTCTTTTTCCTCTTACTCCGGCCCCAGCCTCTTCCCTGAACAAATGGGAAAGCAGACCTGGCTCTGGATAGGGCCTTCCAAAGGGTCAGATCTCTCCTTTCCTTCTTATTAGTCTGATTCTTCAGTGGAAGTGGCCAAGTTTTGGCTGAAGAGAACATTCAGTTCAAAGCTCTTAGAAAAGCTTATTGAAAGTCAGTTTGAGGGTGGAGGCAGAGGGTGAGAAAAAGGACTGGCTGGAGGGGAGGCGTTCACATGCAGACACATTTTCAAACAAGAAGCATATTTTCAGTACAATGATTTGCACTGCAGTTAAGAGCCTAGCCATCAGAGGCCAAGGCTGTGGGCAGGTACTGGTGATCCATCTGTCCTCTTTGTCCTCTCTTAAATCTGTCTCCTCCCTCCTAACTCATCTCTGGGGTCATCCTGCCCTCTAATGGCAATAGCCATTGGCAGAAAATAAAGTCTCCCAGGGAGGCTGAACTTGGAAAAAAAAAAAAGCAGTGATTCTCCATGGGCTTGCAATTTTCACCTTATTCTAGTCACTGTTGGCCTTTTGGGGGGTGGGGGGAGATTCTGTTTGTTTTATATTTTTTATGAGGAAAAAACCCTACAGGACTTTTGGTTTTAGGGGGGTTGTTTGTTTTGTTTTCCCAGATACTCAGCTCTCTAAACTTCCCGTGGCATTAGGTGAGTAAACGTTTGTATGGCTGGCACACAGTGCAGTGCTATAAACAAGCACAACTTGACACTGGGCCACATGAGGATCATCACAGATTTAAAGAAATACAACACCATTCAAAACACAGATAAGAGCCATGGCGGGGAGCAGAGTCTGAAAGTGCCATGGGAGGGTCAGATAGGAAGGGAAAAAAAGAGAAAGGAGGAAAAGAGGGGGAAAAGTGCAGCAAATAGAACTCAGGAACATCTTCATGACAGACGGTACATCAAAAGAGGAAATTCCCCAAGGCACTGCAGAGTAGTGCAGAGTTATAACAGGCAGAAGGTATCTGAAAAGGGGAGTGGGGTGGGGTGAGAAAATGGGGGCTTCCAAAGCTTCACTGTGTGTGGAAATAGATGGGCTTGACTTTCCCAGAAAGAATCTTGGGCACTTGCACAGAGATGATTTCTGCCATCATTTCTGGAAAGTCCACGCTCACCATGTGGGACTTGATTAGCAGGTCAAAAGTGAACTGATGCAGCTCTCGTGCAATCTGTAGGGGGAGCAATAAGAGGGAGAAAACAGGCTTGACAAGGAGCTGGCTTCTGTCAGGCTCTTCCCCCCACCTCTGATTTCTTCCTCCTTCCCTGTCCTTTGTCCTCCCTGTGGATATGTGTGTGTTCGCACACATGTACACTAAATGGTCTCCAGGGAGTTACTGAGGGCTCCCAAGTGATCTCCTACACCATTGCAAGCTCTCTGACTCAGGATCGTGTGTTCCTCTTCTCGAGCACATGCATGTGAATGCACACATGTGCACACCCACACACACATTCTCTTCCTCAACACACAAATCCATACATGCACATGTGCACAAATACACAGACATGATTCAAGGGAGCAGGGGAAAAACATTCAGGTCTGTTTTGTCTGCCTGGAGAACTTATCTGTTCTAAGCCCTTTCCCTGGGTCCCAACTGCTCTGTTCTCAACTCCTCCACCTCTTTCATAACACCCAGGGACAATGTGACCTGTGTTCCTTTCTTCTCCATTGCATTTTCTCTCTGGACCACTCTCAAAGCCAGAGGAGAATGGAAGCAACTCCCAACAGGTGGTGCCAGATCCTAGAGGAGCATATGATCACTTAGCTATATCAAGTTGCTTCTCCCTGATGAAGCACCCTCCATCATTTGCTTACAGGTTGCACAGAATCCAGGAGCTTGGTGAGCTGGTAGAAGCGCCTTGAGCAGGATGTGGGATTTTTTCTCTTGCAAGCAATGATACGATCAAGTTCCTTGATGTAGTTCATTCGAAGTTCATCAAAGAATTTTTGATTTTTCAGCCCATCCACTGGAACTGATGTGGGGTGAAGACAGAATGGGGGAGGGGAAGCATGCCCACAAAGGAGCATTAGACAAAGCAACAAGTTTTCTGACCACAAACTTGACCCCCACCCCACAGGGAGGGAACCATTTACTCAGTTTCCTGTCATTTGAAGTCTGTATGCCTAGGTCCTTCAGCCTGCCAGGAAGTTCTAGACAAAAGGCTAACTGAACACAATCTGAAGGGCATGGAGTAAATAAAATTTACTGAGACCTTCCTTTTTCTAGTCTTCTCGTCTATACATTTCTTAGGACTGGTGGTTTTACATTGTCACAGTCCAGCTCTGATTTAGACAATTAAAATATACAGTTTTGAGTATCAAATTTGGCTTCCTTTTTTCTTCATGGGGGCTAGGACAGCACTCTGCTTAGAAGAGACATTAAAGAAAGATTACTTGGCTGCCTAATAAGCCCTATCTGAGTTGCTTACACAGACTTCCTACTGTTGGCAGAAGAGGAAATTCTTTCCAGGAGGCAATCCCTTCTCTCTGCAACAAATATAATGTGGTCTTTGCCTGTTTCTATGGTAGAAGCTATGGACAAGTTCAGAGACCTGTTACAGCCAGCCGCAAAAGCCTTGTTCCAACGAGAGACTGGAGGTAGCTGGGGATCTAACAGATATTGACTTCTAACAAAGAAAATAGTCTATAGGCATGAAATTCATACCTGGTAGGAAAAAAAAATAGGATGCTAAGAAAGAGCGGAAGAGGGAAGGTGAATGGAGAAGGGAAATGCCTAGGAGCTGGCTTCTCCTTTATAAAGCTTTAATGGAAAAAGTAGCTCCCTTCTGAGCCCCTGTGACCCCAGCAGCATTTTTTGTCTCTCCAGGCACTTACTAATGCTGAACAGCAGCAGTGCCTTCATGCACAAAAATTCCTGGGGGGTGATCTGGAGCCATCCAAATTCTTGAGAGAGGTGCCTCATTCGGACACACTGGCTGTACATCCGGGACTTGTGCATACGGTATCTGTAGAGGAAACAGATGGCGAAAGGAAAGGAGTAAGGGAAGGCTTAACAATAAGCTCAGAGGGAATGTCTTTGGTTGCCCTCCCCTCCACAGGTTCTCCAAGAAGAGCTTATTGTTTCTCTTGCTGGTGCTTCACTGACAAGGAACAAGGTTGTTTTTGTCCACCCTCCCCCAAATCCCGACATCCTTGTAACTACTCATCTTCCCTGGTCAGGATATGTGTTAGCAGATGGAATTTCCAGGTCCCTGTGTCTGTTTCCTGAGACAGAGACAGAAAAGCCTAACCAAATGAACACAATGGGCCAGGCATATGGTCTCCCTGACTACAGTTCTAATATCCCACCTACAACCAAAGCCAGAACCTGCCTCCCAGGCATCCCAACACAGTATTTCTAGGAGACAAGATTTATATATCAACCCCTAACGTAAGGACACCAGGATTTCCAAGTGACCACAGTAATTTATCCTGTCAATTCCCCTGTCTCTTGGCATAAATTCCATTCCCCTTCCTAGAAATTTTGTCACTTAAAAAAAAAATTCCTGGGAAGGAGATTCTCCACTGTCCCTTCACAAAGTGAGTTCCAATGTTTATCAAATTAGCCAGGAAGTGTTTCCAAATGTCCAATCTAAATGTACCTCGAAGGGGAGCCTGCTCCCTCAGATAATGGTGGTTCCTTATCACAGTTCGAGAGTTGTAAACACATGTGAGCTGTTTTTACTATAGTGACTTGTCAAGAGATCATCACATTATCACCTATAAATTAAATAAGGAAGTGGCCAAGGCTTGGACGGTTTCTCAGGGGGAACAACCTCTCTGTTTTATGACTGTCCATGGCAATCGCAGGCCTCTAGGAAGATCCAGCATCTTCTTGCTAGTTGGTTTTCCTGGCTTTCAGCACTTCAGAAATCACGTGTATGTGTGTTTGTGTGTGTGTGTGTGTGTGAGAGAGAGGGAGAGAGAGAGAGAGAGAATGATTTTGTATCTTGTGGAGAAAGGAAAGGTAATTTAACACCCACTTAAGTGGTGAGGAAAAAGACCTAGATTAGATTTGATGGCTGTGGTTTGATACCTTGGTCCCCAAACCACTAGCCTTCTCCATGGCTAAGCAGGTCTGATACTGGTTGGGTGGAAGCCCAGCACCCTATCTCAGAGAGATCTTGGCTACCCTGGAGAAAAAGGGAAGGGGGACAGATGGTAGATTCAATTCAGGCTGGAGACCAGCTAGAAAGAGGAAGTGTTTAAGATAGTATCACAAGTCAACTGACCAAAGCAGTGTTGTTTCAAGGTCTTTCAACCTAGAGAATTTTTGAATAAGATCTGCTGACCATCAGACATGATCCGGCTCCAGTCTATTGTACTTCCAAACCTCTGTTGATAACACCACAGTCTTTTTATGATTGAAATCATGGTCCTGATGTGGAGGATGGATGTAATACTGCTGCAAGTGCCAAGGACAGAGAAATGTGGGGAAAAGAGAGAAGAAAAAGGGAAAGACAAGAGAAGGAATTCAGAGGGGGAAGGGAACAAGAAGGAGAAAGGACAAAAAGAGTAGGGAGATAGTTAACGGGAAGGAAAGGGAGAAGAAAGTAAAAGGCAGAAGACAAGGGGGCAGGAATGGAATTCAGGAAGAGAGCAGAGGTAGGTTAGAATAAAAGAGAGTGGTAACAGAAGAGATACAAGTTGAAAAACACTGAGCACTGTGCTTGGCACATAGTAAGTGTTCAATAAATGACATGTAGGAAGGTACCATTATAATACTATTCATCATTCTAAGATGGGAAGACTGAGGTTCAGAGAAGTTAGGCAGTTTATTCAAGGTCATACAGCTGGGGTCTAAGCCCATTACCCTCACAACATGTGTTCTCCACAAAGAAGGGAGAAGGAGAGAAGAAAGCAGGGCTAATGACAGGGCTTGTTATGAGAGAGATCAGGAAATGGGTTGGCTTAGAGTGCCACTGTAAATACCCAGTAGTGCAATTGCTGGGTCATAGGGTAGTTCTATTT